CCACGTGAAGTCTTCGCCTCAGCGGTAATAGGCTACTTACGTAAATTTGCTCTCCCATGTGTCTTGTTTTCCAATGTTTTTGCAAATAACTGTCATAACAGAGCTATCTGAATCGATCGTACATCCATTACGCTAAAAGATTGGATATTTTAGTTCTCTCTCAACTTAGTCTTATTGGTATGTAACGTTGTCGGCAGCGACGATGTTGCACCAGCACCTCCGTTACATTTACACAGCAGGCACCGAAACTATAGTTACAGTTCTGACATTCAACCCAAATAACAGGATGGGATTATGTGTCTGGGACTTCAAGGGGAATTCTTCAAGAGTTCCAGGAACATTCAAACAAATCTGACCACCCGATTCCCTTAGTCCACTCTTTCGACCAGCATCGTTTGTTGAAGACCAAAGTTTTTAATTAAAGCATAACGGGTAAGGGACGACTAACGGGATCGGGTGGTCAGGCTCGCTGACTTGGTTGACACATGTCGTCGGCTCCCAATTGCGTAGATCGATGCTCACAATGTTGATCACTGGATTGTCTGGTCCAGACTCGATTATTTACAGACCGCCGGAATATTGCTGAGTGCGGCGTTAAACGTTACTCACTCACTCACTCACTTCTACTACTGCTGCTGCCGCTGTCACTGACCGCCTCTATGATCTATGCTGGTAGTTCAATTTCCTGCTACGTAATATGAAATGACGTGAAGAGTTGGTACTTGTTGTTACCCTGTCTGCCAATCTGTATTAGGGGGGACTGTTCCGTTGGGAGAGAGAGAGAGTGTGACTGCCGTGAAGCCAAATATGACCCTCAAACCCGGTCCGACTGCAAGGTTATTTTGTTGAGTTTTATTCCTATTTATTTTAATTTATATGTTATATGATATACGGAGAGTTTGGTCGATACCCGATGTATATTAAATTAAACAAAAGACTTATATGTCTTTGGCACAAAATGGTAACAAACACCCGCCAAGCTAAAGAAATCAATGTGTTTCCCTGGATTGAATTTGTAAGAAAGACACTTAATGACTGTGGTTTAACTGAAATATTTTACAATCCATTTCTCTGTCCAACTAAGTTTCTCTCTTTTAAGATGGAACAGATCCTCAAAGACCAATGTTTACAGAAATGGCACACCTCCATGACACAGAGCTCCAAATCATCTATTTATCGTATCCTAAAAACCAACATAGAATTTGAGAGATATCTCTTTCTGCCAAAACATATCTATTTCCGGATTTTAAGATTCAGAACAAGTAATCACCACCTCCCTATAGAAGTTGGCCGTTGGGCAAATGTTCCTAGAGAATATCGTCAGTGTAATCTATGCAACTCTCATGCTGTGGGAGATGAACTCCATTATCTGTTCAATTGCGATGCTTTACTACTGTATAGACAAACATATTTACCTTCTTACTTGAATTCAAAAACCTTGTGGAAAGTCGTCAAACTGTTCTCGTCCAAACAAACGCGCAATCTTAAAAACCTTGCTATGTACATTAATGTAATATTTAAGTCTACAAAGATACATTAACCTTTGGTTCTATTTCGCTTTTATCTGCCATCTTGACATGTATATATTTATATGACTATAGTAATATTGTATTCTCATGTACCACCGTTCGTGGTGTTTTCAGCAATAAATTGAACTTGAACTTGAACTATTTCTGTTCCTTTCAGTTGTCATGTTATAGGTACAGTAAGTAGGGGAAGTTTCAATAGGGTTTTTTTGCCCAGCAGTCTCGAACCAATCTGAATAAACAAACAAAAAGTAAATTCCCACTTTAGTGGAATTCCCAAAGAAATACATAAAAACACTACATTTGCATTTGGGGGGCATTAATAATTCCCCCTCCCACACTTGCGGGACACCCAGAGAGTAGCGAGGTTGGAATGCACTGGTAAGGAAATTCCCGCGACTTGCGTAAAGGGAGATAACTGCGTAAGTACTGGCGTGTGGGCATTTTCCTCAACCGGCGCAATTTAAATGATCACCGAAAGGGGTTTTGTACAACATAAAATTATGGGAGTGATTCGCTGTACATGCATTACGATAAAGCAGTTGTTCAATTTCTTCCAAACTACTATTAAAATTGATATTGTGTACTGTGTTCGTAACACACGCCATCAAAATTCCAACCGTATCATGGCGCACCTAGCCTGAGACAGACACATCAGTACATACATATTATCCATCCAATCCTCATAAGATATCTCTAATGACAAGCGCTAGGTGCCTGTTTGTGCTGTAATACCATATGGATGGGTTGCTACTGGAGAATCACTTGTTTCTTTCTACCCACCCACTCCGACAAAACTACAACCATATTGGACACAGGAGAGAGTTTGTGGCCGATGTCATACCATCACAATCTGGTACAGACCCAGACCCAGGGACGTGCCCGTTGACATCTGGGGTGGTGGGGTAGCCTAATGGTTCAAGCGTCCTCTCGTCACGATGAAGGCCCGGGTTCGATTCCCCACATGGGTACAAAGTGTGAAGCCCATTTCCGGTGCCCCCCGCCGTGATATTGCTGGAATATTGCTAAAAACGGCGTAACACCACACTCTCGCAAATAACGTTTCTATTTTATTTTGCCCGTCAAAATGCAAAATGAAGTAATCAGGCCGCGTGATACATTAGAATCAGGGTTACTTTGTTATGTCTCATCATCTAAAGGAATGTAAATAAATATACCAGCATTTTATATCCCCAAAACAATCAAGTTTTAAAAAACAGTCTCCTTGGAAGTGTTTGTAATTGGCCTGCCCATGGGAATTGGATTGCTCCCCTTGGTAGTCGTATTTAAAGAACATCAATATCAATAAAAAAACTAAAAACACGGACATAATTCGGGATTTGATTTTATTCTCAATAAAAGCAAATAACGAAGAAAACAGTTTTCGTGTAATGCGTCTCGCACCATTAGAGACATAAAAACCCAAAGAAACACACTGAACTATGTAACAATGAACACTCGTGGTAGGGTATCTTCACCATGGACAGGTAGAAGTGCTGTGTGGTACACTTAGCGATCTAAGCGTCCAGCTGGATTATGCACATCATAACTATAACATAATCAACATACATATACATCTATAATGTGGACAAAACAAGGTAACGCTATGTACCGGTATCAGTATTAGACACACCAAAATCTCGCTAAAAAACAAATTGAGTCCCTTAGCTGAGCCAGGATCCGCGATCCGTACAGGTGCAGATTTGAATTCAGTTTGATCCCTGATGTTTCCCTTCAAAAAGCTTGTTAGTTGGTTTCTGTAAAGTGTTTAACATTTACGATTTCCGTCCGTTTGGTTATTCCATACATAATATAGTTACTGGTAGCACATAATTACTGCTCGTAACGACGTTAAACGTCACTCATTCTGCACTGCTAAACACAGACATCACAGAACACATCTATAAATATATTACGGAGTCAAATAGAGTCGTATATACATATGCCTTTTAAACCATCAAACATTTGAATATATACATCGCTGCCCCCAAAAATAATAAAATAAATAAATAAATAAATAAATAAATAAATAAATAAATAAATAAATAAATAAATAAATAAATAAATAAATAAATAAATAAATAAATAAATAAATAAATAAATAAAATTTAAAAAAAATAATAATAGTTAGCATAATAGAATATATTTCATAAAAGTTAAACATATGAACGTGATCGAACACTTCCCTTAATATTTAACCGATGACGACGGGGTTTATACGGAGTAGGTTTCAATTGTGTATACTTGTGTAACAGTGACTAATTTTTCTTGCGAAATAAACTAGGTCACCAGCTCAATTTCCGTCCTGTTTCCTTGTTTCCCCTTTATGACTAAACAGAATACATGCATGTAACCTTCATGCCGAACCACTGCTGATGTGAAATAGCTGTACATGCACGACAGACAGTGTGAGTCAGTCACAGTCCCTTCAAAAGATAAGAGTTACAAATATTCATATGGTACCACCATGTCAGAATGATGAGATCAATTTAGAGTACATAGTCTTGATAAAATACAAAGAAGGTCGCCTGGGAACGAAATACATTTCTGAGCGGGAGAAATAAATCCCTTATACACTGTTTAGAAGAAAACAGTTTGGATTCTTGAGTGGGAGATTAAATGACTCGTGCCTCGACTTAATTTAAGTCACGTGGCACGGCACATTTCTACCTCAACTCAGTCGAACCGCAGCCTTCTATCAATTTCCAATTCATTTTTACTTTTTAACAACGGAAGATTGAAACATGCAAAGATAAATTCCGTGATGGGTATACAACCTAACGAGAAACCAGACGATATATAACTGCTACAACTTCCAATACACAACATCGGGCCCAGTTGCACACGTAGAGCGTTTATACTGCAATCGCTTGTCGAACACCTGCTGTTATCAGTGACTTCAGCGATTTTCAGGTACTTGTCACTTCAGTTTTACCTTTTGTGTCTAATGGAACAAGTTTAATATTTACAGTTATCGCTACACTGCGATTGCTCTTTATGCGAGTGCGTGCGTGCGTGTGTGAGTGAGTGAGTTTAGCTTTGCGCCGCTTTTAGCAATATTTCAGCAATTTCACAGCGGGGGACACCAGATATGGTCTTCACCCTTATGCAAGGTCCCGTTTCATTAAACGATCGTAAGACTACAACTGCCTTACGTATATGAAGGGTAGCCTAGTGGTTAAAACATTCGATCGTCACGCCGAAGACCCGGGTTCGAATTCCCACTTGGATACAATCTGTGAAGCCTATTTCTGGTGTTCCCCGCCGGGATGTTGCTGGAATATTGCTAAAAGCGTCGTTAAACCAAACTGAATCACTATGTTAAAGAACGTATGTCGGGTCGTGTGGTTGGAACTCATTCGACCAAGTGATATTTGTGCTACTATAATCACAACGTATATTCTTCAACACATGTGCGATACTCGTGGCCCTAAAACGACGCCTTTACATTTGTTAGCTCTAACATATTGTCTCCGTTCCCACACAGCATCAGTATCCCACTGACACACCACAACCATTCAGTATTATACACGGACAGCAAACTAGTAGCATGTCGTATACATCCGGACCCAGTTTTACAAAGCTCTGTCAGTATTTATATGACTTTCTCACAGCCCCATTAACAGAAAAATATTAATAGTCATAGCACTGGGAGCGCTTTGTGGTATATGAGGATGTGAGGCAAGTGCAACAAGGAAAAGTGAGGAAAGAAATTACATCTGTAACAAAAATGAGAAAATAAGGAATGCATCGGCATTGGGCCTGTTTTACACATAAATTGGAATGAAAACAATCCAGTTTATGTAAACGGGTATGGCAAGAATATCACTTAGGATATTGTAAAACAAGAATACAAGTGTACTGTATATTCATCAACATACTCGGTACAGTATATAGCATGGTTCTGGCAGAATTCTCATATCAACTATGTCATGTCACACTGACCATATTATTAAATCATACAAACCATCATACTGACCATGCCATTACGCCATATGGACTATCATGTAATAAGTAATATGTTGGGTAATTTTCCATTAAGACCAAGAAAATTGTAATAAATGCATTTTCAGCCATCTACCCTATTTGAAATGTTGTAAAGTTACTGCTATTAAAGGTAACATATCTTAAATAACCACCGGGAGGTATGAGTCATGCATAAAATATTATGAAATTTAAAAGTTAAATTCAATTTATATATCTTTTTATTCACATAGGAATATTCCTTGATAAAGCGCCAGAAGGGTTAACGTTTATCTTTAACTGAACTTCCCTCACTTAATTTTCAATCGAAAGTCAAACATATTGTAAAATCAAGAGATATAGTTTCTTTTTCCCGAAGATAATCATAAAATTTATGTCATTATACATGTATTTAGGAAATGCGTTGACGAACCTTTGTCATTTCCGAATTCCCTATACACCAGTTCTAGAAGAAGTGATTCTTGACACATTGTTCGGGGAACGAAGAAAAGAAACTCTTCTGTCAATAATGTCAAATATGTGAACGGTCATATATTTAGTGATCAAATATAAGACAGAGAGGCTTAATATGCCACAAATGAACATCTGTTTGAGCTGTGAGACAACGGAATACCGTTTAGGAAAGTTTATGTCTAAGGGACGAGGAAATAAGCGAGAGTAAGTCATGGAAAAGAGAGAAAAAGCCATTGGAATACGATAGTATGTCATGGAAACAAGATATTAAGTGTTGCAAAGGCATTGATTAACGTTTATAACCTCTTCTTCTCATGTGATCAGTAAAGCGTGTTATGTTATTTTTTCGCCAACAATGCCAAAAAAAGTAACGACATTATCAAAACTACCCAGTTAATAGAAAACCTACTCACACCATTAGTTTCTTTAATTTCGGTCGCTACTTGGTCTGCTGTTTCTGTCTTCTTCTCCTCCACAGTACAGTTGTTCTGGAGGAATTTTTTAAACTCATAGTCCTTTAAGTCCTTGGACTCCGAGTTTAGCAGACACTGTCCTTCCAGTGTCCACGGTTCAGACACCCGCATGGCATCAAACACAGAACAATCGCAGTTCAGATCTAGTCCTTCTAGCCAAATCTGTTGGAATGTTTTCTCTTTATATTGTAAAACAAAACGTACATCAGTCATGTTGGTTCGTTTCAAAGCCAACGAAATACCTCGACCCTTTCCATCAAAAACATTGTCTTCGATCCTATAGAGGCAGTTATCAGAAAAATCGTAGGAATTTGCTCCGATTCCCTTCAGTGAATCAGTTTTCAAAACACATATTCGGTTTTTGTTTAGTGAAACGTGATGAAGCTTGGTCAAATTGGACAAGAAATCTCTAGGTACTTCTGTCAAACCCCTGTCGTTAATAGATATTGAAACCAAGCAGTTTTTCTGTGGTTCAAGTATGGACGCTTCTAGGGGCACTAGCGTCTTGCTGATGTCCAGGGTTTGGAGACAGTAAGATCCTTTTAGCGACGTAGATGACATGTCTACAAGTGGGTTGTAGCCTACGTTTAAGATCTTCAGAGCTGCGAGACTCCACATCCCCGCTGTGGGCACATCATCCAGTTGGCATGTCCTCATTGCAAGAGATTCGAGACTCTTCTCAAGCCCAGCGAGAGATCCTTCTTCAATTTTCAGGCCACCATTATCACTGAGGTCAAGGTCACGTAAGCTTGACATTCCTTTAAAGCTATTGATGGATATTGATTTAATGTTGTTCAATCTCAGGGTCAGTTTCTTGAGATTATACAGATCCTTGACGGCAGAAGGGACCTCTTTCAACCAGTTAAACGTCAGATCTAACTCCTCCAGACTCTCAATACCAACAAACGCTTTATCCCCAACACCTGCAATGTGGCAATTGTACATGGAAACGTCCTTCAGGGCGGTCAGACCAAGACCTTTGAAGATGTTTGGCGCAATCACACCGTCATTTTTCTGGCTGTTGTAGTTCAGTATCAACTTCTCCAGCTTTGAGAGCCCTCTGAGGAAGGTGAAGGGAGAAGTGAATTGCAGGCGGATGCTCTGTAACCCCAAGAACTGTAGCGACCCCGCAAGGTTTATCAGGGCACTATCTTGCAGCTTCACGTTGTCATTAGCTTCGAGAAACAGCATGGCGACATTCAGATTGCTGGGGAAGTCGCTCCGTGATATGGACATGAGCATATTTCTTGACAAATCCAAACGTTTTGGGAGAGCATTTTCACTTAAAGATGAAAGATCTGGAACCTTCATGAAAGCTCTGCCCTTACAATTTACGAAGTAGGTATTACCTAGTTTGGGCACTCGACGAGTCCTACACACACATCTCTTAGGACAGCTTATATCAGATGTATACACACAGGAAAATAAGGAGAAAAATAGAGTTGCATAAATTAAAATATGTTCCATCTTGCTCCGAGGACCCACGAGGATTCTTAGCATATTCCCGTTTGGTATTTTGGTCATTTCTGTTTTTCTTCAGGTTAAGAGAAGAGTGGTCGTCTCACATGGCCATGGTTTCAAGAAAAATCTGAAAAGACATTTGACATGGGTATTAGAAAAAAATATAACATGCGGCGTAAAACACAACTCACCCACTCACCACCCACATGAATAAAAGACACGTTCACGAGATACAACCAGATGGTCCAAGAACAGTTTCAAAACATACAAGGGGCGGTGGGGTAGCCTAGTGGTCAAAGCGTTCGCTCGTCACGCCGAAGACCCGGGTTCGATTCCACACATGGGTACAATGTGCGAAGCCCATTTCTGGTGTCCCCCCCGCAGTGATACTGCTGGAATTTTGCTAAAAGTGGCGTAAAACCTTACTCGTTCACTCACTCAAAACACACAGTTTAGTAGTACCCCCTTACAAGATGGGAGAAACCAAATCATTTCTTCGTGCCGTATTCTGTTTTCAGGACGAGTATATTTAACGAACTTTCCTTCTTTTTTTCAAAATTGGGCAAACATATCTATTCAAGTACATTATAATTATCAACCCTATGTTGTTGATAGGGCATGACCAGGTTCATTCGTCGTCGGCCAGGAAAATAAGTGTGAAAGTACTTGATATTGTTAAGCGAAATCGAAACAGATCTGAAATATCAACGAGTATGGTTATTACAGTTTCACTCAAGAAAACTTGAATAGATCTCATCACAAAGTACAGCGCAAACTTATCTCTGATTAATACATAACACAGGCGTATTTTTGTTTTCTCTCGTTACATAACATCTTCACCACACTGAGTGATCTGACGAATGTTGTCAACAGTGGGTCAGTCACGAGAAACAAGAACATTTCCAGGTCGCAATCTCACCTGGCTTTCAAAATAGAAGTAACACTAAGTTATATTAAAACGTAGTTTAACCTCACGTGAAACAACTTAACTTTACTGAAATATCAAATTTATTTAATGTTTGATAAACCGTCCTACCGTCCTCCTCCAGCAGATATGTGAAAGGAAATAACAATTAATTCCTGGTCCGTATTCCGGCTGATTCATGTTACAGTACACTTTACTCAACGTCATCATCTCCTTCTTTTGTGGGGCATTTTAACAAGTTGATATTAATGTCTCCGGGCTTTCCCCCGCAAACACAACAATAACAATGAGAGTTTTCAAAGCTGTTTCATATGATTAGTTTTACTCCATCGAATAAAACTTGTTGTTTTCAACACTTGTAATTCTTTATATGCCTTTAACAACAATAACCGGTGAAGATCTGGGTTAAAAGTGATCATCAGCAACCCGTGCTTATTATATCAGGTTAGCAGACTTGGTTGACACATCGTATTCCCATGGTTTACTCCCTACATTTGAACTACACCCCAAATTAACTACAGGGATTATTAGGGATTAATTATCTGAGCAGAGACACCCCATGGCATGTAATGAGCACAGCCCATCAGCTCTCCCGGAAGAACTACATGCTTAAAAACTCCCATTTGTTACACACCCCAATACACATAAGGTCACAGACCGCTGCACACACCTATTACCTATTAGTGAAAATGGGATAGTCCATACTCGTTACAGACATAGAAAGATAACGCAACACAATTGATTAGCACTGCATATAATTTTATTGCATTTTATATGCATTTGTTTGCAAATGCATGCATATGAAGTTCATCATTCTTCGATGTCTTTTATCATTTATTTCCAAACCACTGACCGCCTCCGTGGTGTAGTGGTTAGAGCGTCCGCCCGGAGAGCGGAAGGTCGCGGGCTCGATACCCGACCGCGTCATACCAAAGACGTTAAAATATGGAACTTGTTGCCTGGCGCTCGGCATTAATGGGTACAACAAGGACTGGTCGGCTCGGAGTCAGTATAATGTGTCTGAGTTGGGTATTCATGCTTCACTGCGGCATGGTATCTCAGTGGGCTAGGCACTATAAAACCAGCCTAAGTCTGGGCTAGTACAAGCAGCCGCACATACACATACATATACACACACATGCACGTCGTCATATGAGCGAAATATTCTCAAGCACGACGTAAAACCCAATTTCATCTCACCTCACTAAACCACTGATTGGAAAATAGAAATTTTGAAAGAGGGGTGTAACTACACAAAAAAGCATTAAGGGTATTAAGGGAAATTTGAATTGGAGGACGAATCAAGAAGGTAAAAAATATGAAATAGGTAAAGAGTAATAGAGGAATTTGGAATTTGTAATTTAATATAGAAATAGTGTAATAAATGGTTATTGTTATTGTGTTCTTTGTTTTGTGAACCAACCCATGTTTAAAAACATATTTATCAGGTGAATAATGATAAACATATAAAATGTGCAAGGGCCAACCCCAGCCATTTATAGTAGATGATGTACTTTCTCAATATAATTAAGTTAACTCTACTAAATAGTTAATCCTGCCTTGAGAAGATGAAATCATCTCAAGAGAGAAACAACTGAATGTACATATTAAATGCTAACTATGAAAAACATCTTTAATCAAACAAACATTTCTTGAGTAAAAACATCAAAACTGCTTGCTCTTAATCCCTTTGATCCATTTGACAGTTTGGGCTAGTCCATTATTGTTGTAGGCATAGCAGTAATTAACCCCCAACCTGACTGTGTAACAACTGGCAATATCAGAGTGTGTACTGGCATGTGTAACAAATGGGATAAGCCAGTTACAATGTATAGTACTGTTTGAAAAGTATTCAAGCAAGGAGACATTGAATAATCCGACACTCTGTATAATCCGAAATATTTTCCCGGTCCCAGTGAGTGTCGGATTATACCGGTTCTCAGAAAAGCTATTACAATACGTATCGTTTGAAAAGCGTATTGCGGTATACCGGTTATACCGTGCAGTTCTCCAAGGAGAGGTCACATTCGCTATTGACTTCTCCTGTTCCAACAGTTTTATCACTGTGAAGTTTATCACTTTTCGTCGTCCGTATTGTTAACTGAATGACAGAAACATAACACGTATATATGTTTATGATAATGGACACAATACGTTCAGTTGACCAAGTGTTCAATTTTAAGTGTTTTCTTTCAGTTGAGTATATGTTGTCGGCCTTTTGGTAGGTGATATATTTACAGTCAATCGACGATGCGACTACTTAAACACTTCGAGGTTCGACACAACCGAACAATAGAGCCCGTAAGTAGGTCACGGCAATTCGCGAGACCTTAGTACTTCCGGTGAGAAACAACGTTTCATACTTTTTCAGTCTCATGGTTGTCAGCTGACAGTAAGGAACTGATAATTCTTGCAGGAATAACAAAAATTTCCGCAAATTAGCTAATTATTACGACTGTCAACAGCTGTGACAGCCATGCATGATTGTACACTTGGTCCGGTCTAGTAAAATCATATTTGGTGTTCTTGAACATACGCTTGTCACCTGAAATCTCGTACCGGAAGTAAGCTGAGCCCCGCCTCCTATATTGCAAGTTGGCGCGCACAAAGGGAGCCGGGAACCAGCACAGTACCGGAAGTAGGGCCTCGCGAGACTTACAGCTCCTATGATGACGAAATAAGGAATACGTGGGAGCTAATTGTTTACTTTGAGACACATCGAGATTCCACACAAAATTGTTTGACAGTATTTAACTACCACTCATCTTGGTAGAATACAGTTACACCCAGATATATTCCACAAACCACGATTTACACATTTGTAAAGCTCAGGTGTCGCTAGTATATTTCTTAAAACAGATTGTTTTGATTTTGAATAATGTCCATTTCATCACAAAAACTCAGAATACAACAGTGCGGACAACCAACAAACAAATGACTGTCAGCAAGTATGCGTGTCCACGAACACAATGAGCTTCAGATGTGGGACATTCAGACAAATATCCTGGAAGTTTGGCATCTCTAAGATCCATCTGGGTGACCGTGGCATTGCAGGCCCCGGTCAACGACACTCCCTGATGGATCAGGCGGGCGATTGTACAATCACATTCTAAGGGCACTCCTCTTACGTTTATGGAACCAAATGTCCCAGCATCGTATTCAAGGGTGAAGCGTAAATCTGTCAGGAGAGTTTCAGAGAGTTCGAGGTACAACGGGTAGGTCAGATTCTGAAAAGCACCTTTTTCAATTCTGGCTAGAGGGTTTTTGGCCAACACCAAGAGGCTGGCTTTGATGCCTGCGAGAGAGTCTTTGCGGAGGACTTTGATCTCATTTTCATCCAGAAACAAATAGCGAAGTTTCTTTAAGGATCTCAGCGATTCCGCGGGAATATCATCTAAGCCCATGTCTCTCAGAAACAAGTCTTTAATACAGTTTTCTTGGCCTTTGAAAATGTTGCGAGTTAGTTTGATATGTGTTTGGCTGATATACAGATCCTTTAAACAGAAAGATCCAGACAAAGAACCATCAGGAATTGTTGCCAACGGATTCAATTTTACGTTCAACTTCTTAAGAGCAGTTAAATGTTTTAGAGCATCGGTGGGGAATTTTGACAGTTTACAGTCACGCATGTCTAGAACTTGCAATGATTTCTCAAGACCAACCAATGCGTCGGCGTCAATCGTAGTAACTTTGGAGTACAACATGCTCAACGTCATCAACTTTCTGTTGTTCACGAAACTCTTCCTTTTTAAAGTTGTGAAGCGTGAATTACTTAAGTCCAGATCTGTCAGGGCAGTGAGGCGGGCAATACCGTCGGGTACACCAGGCAGTAGGTTCCCCGCTAGGTCCAACTCTTCCAGTGTTTCAATACCTAAGAACACATCTGTCCCAAGAGACTGAATTCTACTGTTGTACATTTTCAGTTTTTTCAAAGACGACAATCCCAAGCCATAGAAAAGACGGCTGATAATGTTCGGGTCTCCAGATTGATAGTGGTACTTGTTGTTGAAACTCAGATCGAGATATTCAAGCCTGCTAAGTCCTCTGAGAAATGTTAGGGTCTTGTTGAAGAATATTTTTGTAATTTCAAGGTTTAGATATTCCAAAGAATTGTGTAGGTTGCTGAATGCGCCATCTTCAAGTTCCATTTCCCTGTTGTCGCTAAGGATGATGCGCGTGATTCTAATTCCTTCGGGAAAGTCCGTTTGTTTGACCCGAGTGATGGCTCTTTTTCTTAACCTCAGGAGTTTAGGTTGAGGGTTCGAGATTAGTCCAGAAAGATCCGGAATTCGGGTCATGTTTCTCAAGTTGCTTTGGATTATATACCCATTTTTCCCGATTCCGATGATTCCGGTGTAGCACTGACATTCAGCCGGACAGAATGTTTCCCGGGGAATAACAGAACTAACTAAACACGCTGCGTAGATGAAAAGGAACCACATTATCGTCACGAGGACCTGCAACGAGAAGAGTACTTACATTACATAAACAACAGATTCTTCATAAGCGGATATATCACGTCATTGTGTTTCATTGGATGCACTGTAATCAACGTTTAGTGTAATGTTTGGATAATCTAATCATGATGTAATAAAGATGATAAGACTATATTTTTCATATTTTTTTCATTGTTCGTACTTCCAGCTATTACCTCGGTATATATCAGCTCAAACAGAATCGCATTCCTTATATTTACATTCATTACGTTCATTCATTAACTGTAGCATCTTCCCGTCCATCTATCTGTTCCACAATGTAATCATCAATGGCAAGTATCTCATACTGCCTTTTCTTGTCACTTCGTAAGCTAATTTGATTTTTTATTGAATATTGATTTAATTCAAATCTAATGAAACTATTCAATTGTTCTTCTTGGGTGAGTCTTGTGATGAACATTATCTGAACTTGACGTAATAACGTTAGCTTGCTCCTCACAGTTTGGTCGAAAAGAAGTGCGGTTTGAAACATGGCGACTGGCTCCCCAAAATCTCAAATTGACAAAAGAGATTCAGCGTTCAAGTCCAAGACACTACGTCTTGTGTGAGTGAGTGAGTGAGTGAGCATGATTTTACGTCGCTATTAGCAATATTCCAGCAATATCACGGCGGGGACACCAGAAATGGGCTTCACACATTGTACTCATGTGGGGAATTGAACCCGGGTCCTCGGCGTGACGAGCGGACGCTTTAACCGCTTCTTGTGTCTTAGACTTCCACATGCATCATCAATTATTTCAAAATGTACGGAATGTTTAAAAGACAGCTGATCTATCTTTTCAGCATATAAAGAGAATGACGTTTGAATTTACTTGGGAAAACAGAAAGGAAACATTTAACACAACACTGTGTGACCGCCAGTGAAGGGGGATAACTCTACAAGTGTGTCCGTTTTCATTCAGATAGTTGCACTTACATAGTTTCGCTTTCAGTGGACTACGGTTCTCTTTAACTATGCCCTTTGCTGCATGGAAATACTTGGATTTCAAGAAAGGGTTCTAGAAGGAGAAATCCCATGTTTACATGGAGTCGTGATTCTCAAAGTGAGTTGGGTTTAACGTCTCGTTCAACAGCCTTTCAGTTACACCAAAGCGTGTCACCCACCAGCACGGGTGTGGTGCAGACAAACCTAGAAACATAATCAGAGCAAACCGGGATTCGAACACACGATCGCACGACTGAAACCTACGTCCTAATCATGTACAACACTAACCACAATCTCTATAGTGAATCGGTATGTTTAAGTTCGTGTAATACGACTAGTACTGACATAAACTAAACCATTGATAATAACAGGGGTAATTTCATACAATTCACCGTTATAACAGGGGTGATTTCATACAATTCACAGCTATAATAGTGGTAATTTCATACAATTTACCGTTATAACGGGGGATTTCATACAATTCACAGCTATAATAGTGGTAATTTCATACAATTCATCGTTATAACAGGGGTGATTTCATACAATTCACAGCTATAATAGTGGTAATTTCATACAATTTACCGTTATAACGGGGGATTTCATACAATTCACAGCTATAATAGTGGTAATTTCATACAATTTACCGTTATAACAGGGGTGATTTCATACAATTCACAGCTATAATAGTGGTAATTTCATACAATTCACCGTTATAATAAGGATGATTTCATACAATTCACAGCTATAATAGTGGTAATTGCATACAATTTACCGTTATAATAAGGATGATTTCATACAATTAACAACTATAATAGTGGTAATTTCATACAATTCACCGTTATAACAGGGGTGATTTCATACAATTCACAGCTATAATAGTGGTAATTTCATACAATTCACCGTTATAATAAGGGTGATTTCATACAATTAACAGTTATAACAGTTTTGGTTTCATTCAATTCACCGTTATAACAGTCATGGCATACGAGTTCATGCAATAACCCATGTGAGCACATGCCAATTGCTCTATACTGTTATGGGGGTTGTCTGCTATAACTGTTGTGGTGGTGTATATATATATATACAACATTGTAAACATCAACGCCCGATGTGTACAGTAGCTCTGTTAGTGGTCTTGTATAAGTGCCTTTGTCACAGTCATAACACTAAACATGCAAACAAGAATTCCGCCTTCGTCCATCAGAACAAGCTATGGAAGTGGGAGGAAAGACTAAAGCTCGATATATACTCAACATGAAATGTAAAACAAGGAATGGCGAGCAAGGCCCAGTTCAGAAATCGCTCTTTGGTTTACAATTGTCTTGAGTCTATATCAAGCACAGTCTATTCAACATGGTCTTTCCACATAATAAAACCATGTACAAAACACTATAAACTGAAGAATAAAAGAAACTATACAACCATGGTCGAAATTGTCTAAAACAACAAATGGTCATTCCATGGTGATGCATTTGAAACTGCAGTCATAACTGTATTTGGGGCTATTAGTCTCCAGTGTTTCACAGTCCGCTTTTAGCCTAGTAAAGTTTTGATAACAATAAAGGCAAGATACTATATGGACAATAACTTATATATCATAGATGCACTACTGTTTTTGGATGAATGCTCCACAACAATTTAAGAATCTATATCGAAATGTCGCATCATAATATAATTTTCCCTTAAATTGTTACTCACCAACTTCTAAAATGTCAGTTAAACAGTTCAACGTTTTGATAATATTTGAAATAACTTGCTTAAATTCCATTTCCAAGTGTTTACTTTCTTTTGTACGGCAGATGTCATTCACAAACCATGGCTACTCATTCTCTTCCCACAGAGGTTACTTGTCATATCTTCCTACGAAGAGGCCACAAATATCCCTCCTCTGCTGGGGACTTGGGTTTATGAGACACACAAGACATTTAATGGCTAGCTTGTCCGTTCTCACCCAGGGCGATGGAGACGCCATTGATCCGCCATTACATGACTGAGTTCTGTCTAGAACAAACGTTTGCGCATCGCGCAGGGGAAGAGGTTCTTGTTTTCCCGAAGCATACAGAAATTACCGATCACATTTGAAACAACGTCGCTGATTGCACAACCAAATCTGATTGCAACCAATCACGAATCCTGACCACTCGCACCATGAAAGGGCCGTATTAGAACAGAAGTTCGTAGGAAGATACAGTACAACCAGAAATTTTTGAGAATTTAAGATTGTAATTTTTTTTTCACTCATTACTCACGTATTAATATGTGAATATTAGCAGAACATAACTCCAGATTCAAAGACAGGTGAACAGTTAGTATTTTGTCAAGTCACCATGGGCAGCAATGCATACTACTGATCAAAGAAGTTAGAAAGTCGTGGTCCATGCTGTCCCAATATCAGACCACCTCTTCTTTCATTTCAGCAATATTTGTCAGATTTTTCTTATTGACACTTTCCATCATAAGTCCCCAAACATTTTCTATTGGATTTAGGTCAGGGCTATAGCTTGGCCAATCTAATAATGTCATATTTGGGTCCGAAACCAGACCTGTGAATGCTTTGAACGATGTTTTGGGTCGTTGTCCTGCTGGAAAATCAAAAAAATTTCCATAGAACACGTGAGCAGATGTAAGTAAATGTCCCTCGAGAATATCTGTGTACCGCTCACTGTTCATATTCCCTTCAAATACACAGAGGGGCGTTGCCCCTAACACAGAAATGCCACCCCACACATTAAATTTCGGAGTGTACTTTGGGCGCTGATACAAAGGTTGTTAAGTTTGTTTGGTCCAGAATTTCAGTGTATTAGGAAACAGCCACACAGAATTTTAATCTGAGAAAATCGCATTGTCCCAGTTAAAATTTCTATGCTGTAAGCACCAGTTCAACCTTCGCTCCTTTTGTTCAGGTTTCATGATCGGTGATGGAATTCCTCGACTTTTCAGCCAACCCATTGCATGCAGCTAAGTTCTAATTGCCTCCTTACAGCCAGCCACAGTTCCTCTATCAATCATATCCAGCCTTAAGTTTTCTAAACTCCTTTGTTTGTTTTTAGAAAAAAGAATACCAAGCCGCCTCCTGTCACCGACAGTCAATTTTCTGGGCCTACCTGCGCCTACCTGGTGCTCAATGCCATATCCATCTGCAATATTTTTCAAAACACGATAAACAGTGGACAAAGGGATGCCTGTTCTACTTGAAATGACTTTAGCTGATCTGATGTCCTTGTTATAATACTCTAAAATCAACTTCCTCTTCTCTAAATCATCCATACTGAGGATCACTGAAAAAGTCGTCTGCTAGCAAGTAAACAAAGGGGGATAACTCTGCACAAACTAATGAAAAGGATTAACGGAGTTGTCTCTCTTGAATGAAACCAAGCACTTGATAGCTGGTCAAGGTTGTTTATACTAGAAATCCAATTAAACACATTTCCTAAAATTCTCAATAATTTCTGGTCATACTATATGACAAGTAACCTCTGTGGGAAGAGAATGGTGGCTACTGTAACAGTTAATGAAATGTACACTGCTATATCAACGTCATTATGTATACATGTATATAATAATTTAAAACGTATGTAAACATGCATATAATAAACGCAAATGCAGTTGTACTTACTCCAATGTTCTTGCGTCCGCTGGGATCTACAACAAGGCAGCAATAGTCGCAAATATCCATCAGGAAAGTACTTGAAACTAGGGTAATAGTTTCGGTGACATTTGTGCGCCTGTCACCCCATAACCCCAAAGAGAAGCCATTTTGCAATTAGTATGTGTGAATAAATGGCAATGCTGAAAGGTTAAAGTGTACATGTATGATATGTAAAGCACTATTAGTATCGATGAAAATGTAACTATCCTCATACTATCCTCCAATATGGGTTTTCGGAGGCTCAGGAAATATTCATTGTTTTCTCACTAATCACATGAACAACTGTAACACCCAACTTGTTTAAACAGCAAACCATCATCCAAGTAGTAACACTTTCTACGTGACTCAATATGTTCAATTTCAGCGCGAGCAAACACTGCCGTCCGAAAACACATAATTCGATATTAAATAATTCACAGTTGACGTGGCCGAAATAAACATTCCGATAAATCAGCTGTCAAAATAATGAAATCTTAGGTTTTTGAAATCGACAAACTCGTTATCTTTTGATTTCTGAAAAAGTGCAAAATCCTTAAGCGCAGCTTTGTATGCAATATTTCAAATATATATACATGTGCACAAAATATGTCTTACCTTTTTAAAAGTTATTTTTTGCCTAAATGTGTGCATTTGTGGAAAGAGGTGTGTACGTAAAAAGCAATCTACCTGATATTCCTATTCAGGGGGTGTTTGATGGAACGGCTCGTTGATCAACCTTATAATTACTTTAAGATATCAAGAGCTGTACATGACGTGGCAAGGGGCTTCAATGTACTGAAGTGGCTATTGCAACACTAGACGTAAAACTGTTATTAATGATAATTATACAAATAAATATCCAGCATATTATCGGCACATTACATATTTGCAGCGGTATCTTTCATTAACGTCTCTCGTCACTGAACAGGATGAACTAATCTATCTCCCAGACCGTACAGTATTTAAAAAGGGACTCCAACTCAAGCCTAGAATGACTGGGGAAGTCTACATTGGCTCAGCTCTATGCATTAAAGGCATTAATCAAGAATTGTTCTGGATTTGATTTGACTTTTTGTAGGGATGTGTTGTTTAGATGAAATAATTGTATTTCTGAAGCTAAATGCCAGTCTACATTCAGAGCAAAATGTCATTAAAGATGAGTTGCGCCAAGGATGCACTTGGGGGTCATCTTTGTCTTCTAGCCTCAACTTCTTGTTTCCGGGAGATTTCGCTGCCTTACATCTTCACTGATTCATTTATCTTGTAATTTAAACCGCTTCACAGCTGTTTACGCGACCCACGTGAAGTCTTCGCCTCAGCGGTAATAGGCTACTTACGTAAATTTGCTCTCCCATGTGTCTTGTTTTCCAATGTTTTTGCAAATAACTGTCATAACAGAGCTATCTGAATCGATCATACATCCATTACCCTAAAAGATTGGATATTTGAGTTCTCTCTCAACTTAGTCTTATTGGTATGTAACGTTGTCGGCAGCGACGATGTTGGACCAGCACCTCCGTTACATTTACACAGCAGGCACCGAAACTATAGTTACAGTTCTGACATTCAACCCAAATAACAGGATGGGATTATGTGTCTGGGACTTCAAGGGGAATTCTTCAAGAGTTCCAGGAACATTCAGACAAACCGTTCTTCTCCTGTTGTCATTCGACCCAAGAACCTGCTTATTCAGCAATCCCCGAAGATCACTTGAAGAAGCACAGTCATGATTGTCTCGACAGCCTACTGTTAACACCTCGAGTTCTGTTATTACAGAGTTGTGTTTGCATACAGTGAACCAAACCCGTGATCCTATCTATCATAAATATCCATGTATACCTCTGGCTATGTCTCATACACAGAGGGCATTTGTCTGTGTTTTCAAATAACATGGCATTTTGGTTTAATCTCGTCCAGTGGTTTCATATTTCATGAACGTTGTATTAATATTGACTTGTGAGTACACGGTATATGTATACAGTTGATGAATGGGATGACTGGATGATTTGTCCTTATGGGAAGGTGGAATGAATGCTGCAGTGCATGGCGCTTACTATGGGAAGGCATGCTTCGACTACCGTGAATGAGGGAAGAGGATGGTTAGATGGGTGGGTATCTAGTGACAGAGGGGAACGCAGGTGGATTGGGATCTTCTTCCTATGAAGAAATTGGCGGTGATTTATCCACGGTAAAACCGTCAATACATAGCCATGGGGTGCATGTCACAGTCCGTGGTAAAACCTGTCAGGTAAAACCAAGAATGTCCTGACAGATCGCGAAAGGTGTGTCTACACGCTGAGTCCCCAAATACCAGTAGGAGGCCCAGCTCCATCCTCAACCCGCTCGTATCATCGTATCACTTTAACGTACGTTTATAGTCAACTACGGGACAAAGGTAATAATCAATCATAATACGTATATGGTAGGTATACATTAAATCTGACCTCAGTCGGTATCACCTCCAGCCAGTTGCGCCCATTTTCTTTTACAGAACACTCGGTAGAGCTGGAAAAGACATCAAGATGGAACTCAAATATGTGAAAATAGAAAATACCACAATCGGCCTGATGGGCTCAACGATAATGGAAATTAAATACAGGACAACAATGTACATGGACTAGTGTGACAGCTGTTGAGGTTATTTGCATAATATATCATTTATTCAGTTTTTCTACTGTGCAGCTGCTACCGCACTGGTGAATATCCGGGTTGAAACACGTCAATTGAGGGGGACTAGCGGGATTGGGTGACTTGGTTGACGCAAAATGTCGTTATTAAATTGTAGTAAGTGAAAACAGATCGATGTCGATGATGACAACCACTGGATTGTCTGTACCAGACTCGATGAAGTTTGAATATTGCTCAGTGCGACATTTATCAACAAACAAACAAAAAACACAGATCGCTCGGTATAATCTACGTAATACCTCGGGGTAGACAGTGGGTCAGATGTTCAGAGTGAATGAGTGAGTTGGGTTTTTATTCCAGCAATATCACGGTGGGGGAACACCAGAAATGGGCTTCACACCTATGTGGGGAATCGAACCCGGGCCGTCGGCGTGACGAGCGAACGCTTTAACCACAAGGCTACCTCACCGCCCCTCAGATATTCAGAAGTGAGCGGAGTGTGGCTAAGCGAAAAGAGGACGGAGTTCCCTGAGCGGTCCCATCTTTCTTCCCCCCGAAATCCAATTCTATATTATGTAAAGACAGTCGTCATTTTGCAGGAGTATTTTGTATATGAGTGCGGCGTTACACATCACCCCAAGAAATGTTTGAAATCTCCAGCTGGAACTTTAGTTCTTATAATCAAAGCAAACTCTGAGTTTTCGTCTTCAAAACGTCAAACAAAATTAATCACATTCTGGAACATATCGCTTGTCAAGTTCCATTCTGTATCATACCAGTCAGCCTCTGGAACGGTATTGATTCATGTATGTACGGCATCATCTTAATTCAAAATTTTCGCTACATAGCATCCCATCACGCAATAGGTTTCAACTGGCACTGATCCGGCGACGTGTCTCGCCCAACCACAGATCACAGGATGGACAACACTAGACACAGTTAACGGTAGGCTGAAGTCGGAATATTGCTCATATTTACACATAATTCATGTTACGCAATAAATCACACTCACGCAGCACTTTTGGGGTTAATCTGTAAAACTTACGTCATATTTAAATGAAGAGCCAATTTCATCTACTAGAAAGTAATTTACAGCATATGTTCTCGGCACCAGAGCAAGTTTCCAGTGGCCTGCACTCACACGTGTTCTGGCAAAATGTTCATGTTTTTAACTTAAGGAAGACTGGCATGAATCTGCCTGATATCACTCATATACGCATGTAACTGCATCATATATAAACCTAAAAAACCTCAGCACCTTTCAGCACGTTTTCATATACGAGTTATTTCTGTGTCACATATATGACTCGGTTTTCACAAGGGTGCCCCTGTCGTGTAAGGCGCCGCGCTTCGCACTGCAGAGTTGCGTCCCTTCGACATGGCCGACACGTGATCATTGGTTCGAATCCCTGTTCGTCAGGATTAAGTTCCCAGGTTTGCCAGCACCATTTCGACTGCGTCACATAAAGCTTTCTTCCCACCTTAATCTCGCGTGATGCATCGGGGATGCTGCTCAAGTAAGTAATAATCTCGCGTGATGCATCGGGGATGTTGCTCAAGTAAGCATTAATCTCGCGTGATGCATCGGGGATGTTGCTCAAGTAAGCATTAATCTCACGCGATGCATCGGGGATGCTGCTCAAGCAAGCATTAATCTCACGTGATGCATCGGGAATGCTCCCCGTCAGTCAGTCGCTGCGGCCATATATGAAGATAGTGTTGTACCAGCTCTAGAAGACGTATCACTGGTTTGTTGGTATATATGTTAGAAGTAGATATTTCCCAAAGCTGCATGGAAATTCGGAATGTATGAAAAGAGTGGGTGAAAGCTGGGTGGTTCATTTACCGTTATAGGGTCTGTATCCCAGCACCTGGAAGATAAATTACAATCCGTAGTCCTCATCAGTTTCAGAATGATTGTCTTGGACTCGACTGTCCAGTTAAAAACCTTAATGCACCTGGATATATAATCCGCAGATGTACACACAGATTTGTGTGTTGCTCTCCACTCCAAGTGTGTGTTGCTTTACCGTTGTGTACAACATATGTAGGCAGTCCTAGGGCTGACCCGTGACACGGTAATGGTTCTATCACAGGACGACCTATACACGCATGTTAACACTGCGCCTTTAATAGATACAGTTGTCTGTGCAGGATGACCGTTTATGTCTGCTAGTGTAACAGTTTCCGTGTGAGGGAATATCTAATTGACCGATTACACTAACGACTTAGGCAGGATTTACACTGCGTCCGATTTTCTCTGCGTTGTGTCATGCGTTGCGTCCGAAAAAACGCAAGCAGTATATTTTCCATTTAGACAATACACTAGGTGCGAATTTTGCATGCGTTGCGATCCGAAGCAATTTAGATAGGTAGGCCTCCTATTTTTGACACAACGCAAATGAACTCGCATGAGGAATTCCCCTGATGACGTCATTCCAATAAGGTATTTCCCCAACATGTTGACAATCAGGTAAGGTTATTTCCTCATCTTTTGATAAAAATACACGATTCCAATTGCAGACAGGCTGTGTTTTTGATGAGATATTATTTACAATGTGTTTCTGCGCCTGTCTGTGCATAACATATACAATAATATGACAAACCTTTGATAAATTTCATTCTCAGAACAAGTTACTTCAAGATGCTTCTAAAAGTCTTATGAAAAATAAAATTGCCCAGATATTTCATGAGGCTCAATTTGATTCACGTCAACAGAACCCTCAGAACTATGTTCCCCAGGGAAGTCAGTACTGCTCATATTCTATATATGTGGAATTTGTAATGCCTGAGTGTATGAGAGAACAATGTTGGAATGAAAGTAAATATGTTCTACATACTTTTAGTTCAGTATTTCGAAAACACATAAAAGATTGATGTTATTTAATTCCCTTATAAGACTATTAGAAATTATAAGAAATTGTATATGGGGTATGCAAATTGATTTCTCAGAGAACTAAACAGTATAACGAACAAAAAACTTCATTTATTAACAACGTGTATATATACTCTCTGAAAGACTTTAAAATCCAAATCCTACTCGACATAGTTGCTGAACACCAAAAAAGCAACTTACTGCTTAAGTTTTGAAAAGAGTCCACCTTGGTAATGTAAAGCAATCTTTTATACATCCCTACGTCTACACCATACAATACGTAAAACCCATTTACATGCAGTTATTTATCAGCAATAAATTAACATTAATAAATATTTATACTATAAATTCTGTGAGTATTAATCCGATCATCAGTAATATATATACACAGCAATGATCAATATGAACAATATTCGACAAACACACGGGAGGAGACAGTTCCACCAAACATTTCTCTGACAAATAGTTTCTAAACTCATCGTTACGCAAGTCCATAACAGAAACATTATGCTCTTTGGAACATGAGCCAGTTAGTGCACATCCAAGTTCTCTTAAGGGTTTTACAAGGTCACAGTCACACATAATTGATCCTTCAATTTCTATTTCTTCGAAGGTTCCAGGTTCATATCCGATCAAAAAGTCTAAATTAGTGAGAGATGTCCCAACAATAGTAACGTTCACTGGTACATTCAAACCATTGAATGCACCAGGTTCGATCTCCGAAAGAGGCAAATAAGAAAGATCTAATGATTTAGCTTTAATCCCAGATAAACTATCGTTTTTTAAAACATTTATATCAGCGCCGTGAAATTCCAATCGTTTCAACTTGCTCAACGATGCCAAGATCCCTCGAGGAATATACGTAAGTTTCGTCTTGTACAAGCTCAGTTCGTGGAGGCAATCCTTTTGGCTGTCAAACATATTAGGATGAAACTCGACCTGTGTGTAATGCATATCTAACCTATGTAAACAGTATTCTCCACTGAAGGAATCTGCCAGCATTGACGTGAATGGGTTTTCACTGATGTTGAGATTCTTTAGCGCCTTCAGCCGACGAAGCGCGCGCGTGGGTATCACTTTCTGGCCTGTTAATTGGAGATCTAGTGTTAAGACTGAACTCAAGGCCACTGAAGGTATCAGGAACAAGTTCTCCAAATTCGTTGCCAACGAGAAGAAGGGATTGTAATTTGCGTAGTTTGCTAAAGGCGCCACTTTGTAGAGATTTTATATGATTAAAGCTAAGATCCAGCTTCTGGAGACGAATCAAGCTGTTCACTGCCTTGGGAACATCGCTAAGACGGTTACCGGATAAATCCAATGAAGTGAGGCTTTCAACTCCTCGAAATACATCCACTGACATTTTATACATGAAACAAGATGACATATCTATTTGCTGTAGTTGGTACAATCCAAGGTCACGAAACAAGCTTACAACTTGGGATCCAGGGCTCCGGGTCCAGTATTGTTTGTTATTTCGTAACTCAAGTCGAACCAAACTGGACAGTCCTCTCAAGAATGTCAATGAAGTATTGAATTTCACCTCATTTCCAACTCTTAGTGAGACCAGGGAATCGTCAAGGTTGATAAACGCAACATCCTGTAGTGACATTTTAGGTCCTCCTATTATTACAAGTCTCCTAATTTTCAGACCAGATTGGAAAATGCTTTTCCGGATGTCGAGAGAGTTGTCGTTCCTGTATGCGTCCAGGGTCAACTCCTTGGAATGTGTGTCCAGCTTCAGTGGGGACAGATCTGGGACTGAACCGGTAGAGCATCTGATGACGGTCACGGTCTCATGCCCTGGTCCTCTCTTCTTGCCACAGTGACACGACGGGGGACATGGGTCATCTACCAGCATTACAGTTGATACGTGCACTAGTAGATATACCATCACAACGAGAGACACCATCCTATAAACAAGTGAATAAAACTTTAAACATAACAGAAATGCTTCCGATATTATATTTGGACCACCTACCATGACTAATTTCTGATATTTACT